TAACACATTCAAGGCCATTTCTTGTTCTCTTTTTTTTTTTTTTTTTATTGTACGTGATACTAGGTAACTTAAGGACATTTTCACTAGAAGGAAAGCTACAGAGATACTTGCCCCAAACTTCCACCCTCCCAGCTTCCCAGTCCCCCAAACCCCAACTCCCTCTTCCACCAACTCCAGACCCTATAACTGCTCTGAGCCTGAGATGAACATTTCAGATGGGAGCCTGCTGAGAAGGAAACAGAAGAACTAAGCAGATGCATCCTCAAAGAGAAGCCATTTGAACCTGGAGTAGAGGGGCACCTGGGGAGGTAGGGAGAGTGTCTACTAGGTTCTAGGTGAAGCACACATTCCATTGCTGAATGAGAAGCTCTGTGGGCCTGCATGCCTTATAAGAATTTCAGGAAAGATAACTTTGAGGCACCATTCCATGGCAAAGAGTGGAGGAACAGGTTTTGAAGAAAATAGCAAACGACCTCATTTATTTTGGGGTCTAAATCAACACCCCTCTCTCTTCTTCCTCCAACCAGAGCTCACCCTTACCCTCACTATAGCCTCTCCTATTGAGTCTATTATTCACTACCCTGCCTTCCTCCCTTTCCTCCACAAAGGAGGCTATTTTCAAAACAATGACTTCGGAGAGGAATGAAGCCATCCTTTCTCCTCTTTGCCCTACCAAGTCTCACATTTCCATCAAAACTTATCTCACTTAGTAGTTGCCAGGACAGTAATTTGATTACTGGTGACTTGAGTGTCAACTGCCTCAGATCCTTTATGTGGGAAAGAAAGCACTTGTTAACCTCAAAAGCCACTGGCTTCAATAATTGGATTTCAGCGAAAATAATTTAGCTCATTTTTGTGGTGCATACTGAATTGCGCAAGACTGATAATGAATGTTCTTATGCTAAGTAGGTGGTAGAGGCAAGACTGCATTTTGGCGTTGATGTGATATGAGGATGCAAAGTCTTGGTCATGTGCTGTACACTCAGCTTGCTGGGGTAAAGCTTATTTTTGAAGACTGAAATGAAATGCAAGAGTGGTTCACCCAGTAAACAGTTAAATATGGGAGGATGTGGCTGAATGGAAGAGAAAATGTTTCAATTTTATGCACGAAGAAACAAGAACAAGTATTGGGTGTGGGGTTCATGTGTTTTTTTAATGCCCCCTGCTGTGTCAACGGCCTATTCAAATGCACTGAATTAGTAAAAGGTTCCCCTAAAGTTGAATCCATGCAGAGAAATCATTAAAACGGAAGTCTGAAAGCAGAGACCTGTAGTCAAAGTGAGTTAAAAATATTTTTCAGTGTCTATTCTTAATATAATTAGCAAGATATTAAAAAATGACTATTGGGGAAAGACATGCTTTCCCCAATTCTGTCTTCTTCCCATCCATCCATCCATCCATCCATCCATCCATCCATCCATCCATCCATCCATCCCCAGATACTTACACAGAATGAAATAAAATGGAATACCTCTTAGGAGCTTTCTAAATACCTTTAGATGGATTTATTTTATTTCATGTGTATGAGTATATTTCCTGCATATGTGCCTGTGCACCATATGCCTAGCTGGTCCCCAAGGAAGCCAGAAGAGAGCAGAATCCTCTGGATTGTAGTTTCAGAGGTTGAGAGGTGCCATGCGGTGCTGGGAATTGAACCAGGCTCCTTTGTAAGAGCAGACAGTGCTCGTAGCCTCTGATTCATTGCTCCAGCCACAACCTTTGGATGTTTTAATAAATTCTGATAATATTTTATGGATTCATCACCCTGATTGTGCATGGTCCCTTTTGTTTTAACCCCATCTATAGAAAGCACTACCCCACAGCAGAACTCAGCTGCAGTATGGACGCAGAGTGCATCTGTTGCCTTTGTTAATTATCATTCAGCAAAATGGGCTTCTCTTGACTCAACATCTGCCTTTGACTTTTATATTCCATAATTTTATAATTATACTTGATTTAGTTTTCTTTCTAGATTTGAAGTGCAAGATAAATCTTGAAGTTGAGAGTTTGCAAATGCTTTCTTTTGATGGAATTTGTGGTGGCAAGATGATTATAAAAACATTCAAGCACTTCAAAATTATTTATTACATTTATTTGTGTGTTTGTGTGAGTGATGTGGTGTGTGGAGGTTAGAGGACGGCTTGCAGAAATCATTTCTCTCCTTCCAGTGTGTGTATCCCAGGGATCTTATGAAGTAGTCAGTCTTGGTGGCAAGCAAATTACTCCCTGAGCCATCCTCACTGACCAACATTATGGCAATTTTAAAGGCTAGATTTTCATCCTAAGAAATAGGTATGAAATATAGAACTCCCATGAATCCAAAAGCACATTCCTCTGATGGCTAATAGCAAGCAGTTGCAAAAGTTCTCAAGTTAACACACAAAAGACCAGATGAATACATGTTTATTTTGTTTAACCGTTTTGCAAATAGGTCTTTGCAAATGGTTATTCATCGATCACGTAGGCTGCAGTGAGAGTTGCTGAAAGGGATTGGTCTGTCTTGGCTACAGTTTATCACTTAGGTTGCAGATACTTGTTTCAAAGCATGTCTCACTACCATAGCTGAAGAGTCAAAGAGTCTATAAAGAAAGCGTGGGAACCTACCCAGACTCTAAATGCTTATCTGGGTAAGTTGAACTGCATGGTTGCAATGATCAACCCTATCAGAGACCTGGGGAATCTGAGTCATAATTCTCAGTCATAACTTGAAAACCCTGAAATTATTAAGAGTACTCAGCAACAAATTTTCCACAGACCCGAATTTGCTAGCTTACAACTCGTATTAATTGCAAATTAATCCGCCGATTATCCTGTTTTGGAAGGTGTTTTAAAAGTGGCTTGTTTATAATAGTTCCTAGCACCCCTGGAATCCAAATTGGATGCCAACTGAATGCCATTTCAAATGAAGCCCTTTTTTCCCCTTTTGGCAGCTGAACAGAACAGAGACACACAGTAGCTTTGGATCTGTGAACTGTGTTTGGTTTTTTATTTTTTTTTAACTCTCAGCCTCCCCTATTTTTGGGTTCCTTAAGGAACTTTCTTGGTTGGAAGCATTTAGCAAGAAAACAATTCTACCTCTATATCTGCTCTTCAGTTTGAAATTATCTGTTTGTTTGTTTGTTTTTAAAATTTATCCTAGACTCCTGCCTTCTGTGGTCAGTATAGAGTAAAGAATGAGCAACACTATAGAGGTTTCTGTCTCATAGTCACTTACATTTAATTAGACAGATGCCTCTGATAACCAATGAACAGATATTACAGATAATGTTTGCACTGTAAAACAAAAGATATTTATATTTTAGGCTCTGCATTCCTAGGAGCATTTTGATAGATCTAGGTCATTATCTTGCAATTATTCAAATATCTTTCCTTAAACAAGGCCAAGGATTACCCATAGAGAGGATAAAACCACTAAAAACAGACCTGAAGAATGGGCTGGCACACACACACACACACACACACACACAGAGAGAGAGAGAGAGAGAGAGAGAGAGAGAGAGAGAGAGAGAGAGAGAGAGAGAGAGAGA